CAAGGCAGACTCTGCCGAGATACTTTGCCATGGTACATGTATGTTGCCCTCAGCGAGAAGTCCATCAACAACATTATTAAGCTTCACAGCAGGAATAAAAATAAATAAAAATAAAAGTACAGCTGAAAGTTGTGAGCATTTCTCTTCTGTACATAGAGTTCAAGAAACATGACAACAACTGTATGAGACCAATTATTAAAAGAACTGAAGAATAGTTATGCAAATACTATGAAAGACAGTAGAAGAAAGGCACCAAGAAGGAAATCTTACTCAATATGGGAAAGCTCAGAGCAGAGCTTTGCAACCCAGCAGCAACAGGTCCCAGTGAACATGTCTTAAGGAAAAAAAATCACATCCACCCAATCAAATCCTCTACATACTGGAGAGAAAGAGTGCTACACGTAAGGTATCATCCAAAAGAAAAAAGAAACTACAGCTAGAGCAACTCACCGAAATCACAGTCACACTGGGGATAAACAGTAGGCCGAGGGAAAAAAAAAGTTTTAAAACAGAGAATAAAGTTAACACACTAGCTGGATATAAAATGGGCACAGATAAACATCAACCAGAAATTATACAGACTATTTTAACCATTAATGGTGTGAGGGTTTGGAATAGCCTGAGAAGTAGCATGGGCAAAAAAAATTAACTAGGTTTGAGAGCTAAACCCCTTCATAAACTGTTCAATGACAGAGTACCCTACAACAGCAAACACACAACATTGGCATCGGGGACAAAGGAGGCCCTGTCAAGGCCTAGGGAACCTCAGGACTTGGAATCCTTTTGAATACTCTGGAATTTCCATTGTTTTGACACAATTTTCCAGGTAACAATTTTATTGAGATACCAACCTGTGGGGAGACCAAAAGTCAATGTAGAGAAGGTAAGGAGGAAGACCTAGGGAACATGAAAGAGCATGCTTGCAGCTGAATGCAGGCCACTGCATTTCAGGTACTGACTAAAACCACAACAGGGAAGATTTCCTAGGTACCAGTAGGTCCGCCAGGGCAACTGAATCCGTTATCAATGAATAGATTTTGTATATTGAATAGAAATGGACAATTGAAAGCAAATATTTTTTTAAAGATTACCTGGGTTGGACATATTATTCTGTCCTATGAAAACACCAGCTAGAGAAGTTGTGGTCAAAGGATATTGACATATTATGTTGCCAGCTAGAGAATTTGTGGTCAAAGGATATTGACATATTATGTGATATGGGGAAATATCATCATGGCAATGCTGACCATATGGCTTGACAAAGCATAGCAGATAGCTGGTTGGGGAAAAAAAAAAAAAAAAGGTAAACTGAAATCTACAGAGGGAAGCAGGAGACAGGACACAGGAAGAACGAGCAACTCTTCTGTCTGGAGAAACAACTGTGCTCCATGGAAAGAAATAGGTCAGCTGGTTCAGGCAAGAAGGCTACACACAAAAAAAAGAAAGAAAAAAGGTAGGGTAGATCTGCAAACTGAGAAGTCATCTCAAATCCTCAGAAACTCTGGAGAAACCCAGTCCAAAAGACATTTTGGCAGAAAAGCAAAGTTCAGAAACAAATTCCCTGCTAAAGGAATTTAACAGACTGTCAAGAAAATGTTTCATTTCAGTATAATTGCTGCTAGAGCTCTCCACATGTCCTTAAAGGAATGTTTCTGTCTTACGTATTTCTCCCCACCCTTTAGGTCAGAGCAACAAAATATGCACAAAATCCTGCACAAGTGGCTGGGCTCCACATTTACTGCATTAGCCTAAAGATCCCATTTTTTAAAACTATACATTTTCTTTGAACAAAAACCTATAAATAAATACACAAGAGTACACAAATACATATTCACATACTGGACATATTTGTACAAATATGTGCTCCGTTGCTTTTATAAAACTTAAGAATCATCCAAATCATGTTAGTTCCCATACTCTATCCCTTTCTCTAAAAATGGATTTTAAGTGAATGAAAGCAATATTTAAGACTGATGTTTAAAGTAAAGTAACATGCACACCTTTCTAAATTAATTGTAATGCCTCAGTATAACCTAAACTGGCAGCTCACTAAAATTTATTAGAATAAATTTGATCATATAGTATCATTCTCTAAGCTCACTGCACTATATAAATTGCAATTCTGCTTGTTTAGTAAAATCTGGCTGTGTATGAGAGCCTGCACTATAAGGGAGTTAGTTACACCATAATGAATGTTCTTTAGACATGAAGCAACACAGGTAGATTGCTACAAACTTAGTTAAAGAGGCACATTATCTGTACAAAAGACATCCTTTTCTCATAGGTAACTAGTTTCAGTGATCAAAAGCTTATTTAGAAAAGCTCAGTTATAAAGACCCAGAATCGTTTAATGACCCAGCTTTGGGTTTGGCACACCAAAAACCATTCGGTGTATTTCATCTTTGTTATTACAAGCACAGTCACTGTTATCTTAAAAGATAATTTTTAATGGCTGATTACTGGTGTTGTCTTGTGACATAATATTAAATACCAATCAATACTGCTAGTCTGTTTATTTCTGTAGGTTTTGAATACTTGACCTCAAGATGCAAAATAAACCCACTCTATGTGAACAGCAGACCTGAAGCAGATCTTAGGTCTGCCACTGACTTGTGTGACCCTTCCTTCACCTCTATGGTTTCGAGTTTACTCACTTATAAAAAGGACATAATGATACCTGCCTGCACTGAAGGTACATAACTTCAGTAACAAAGTTTCAAAGTACTTTGGGATCAAATTAGGAGGTACTACATAAGTAATCTAAAATAAGCTCCAGAAAGGAAGCATCCAAAAATGTTTCAAGCTTTCTGCTTATGTTTGATATTAATTACAAGCTTAAGATATAGAGCTGATGCAAAATCTTTAGAACTGTTACTGTAACATTGTAAAAAAAGTTACATATCACACATAGTAACACCTGGTTTAGACACCTTCCATTCAATCACCTAACGTCTGAACAATTAACAGCCATGCAGAATGTGTTGCAGTCTGCCCCAGCTTACTTTACTTACCAAGCTTGTCAGACACTAAATTCCATTAGATACGAGTTTGACATCAGCCACAGAAACTCCATGATTCTGTACATCATTCCACAGAGAAATCCGATTTTTTACTACTTACTGAGCTCTCTTTTTTACTGAGCCAAGGTAAGTCAGGCAAAGAGAAATACATGTATTAAACAAGCATGAATATCAGCCAGGTCTACCATTAAACAGAGCTCAACAGCTAAAATATGAGTAGTTAAAGCTTAACGAAACTTTTGATGTGGAAAACAAATACAACAAGAAGGACCAATTCTGTGAATGCTGTAACCTCCACAGCTGTGGCCTTGAGTACATTTTCTCTGCACAGAGCTCTCCCTGGAAGGGATGAATAGAGGAAGAAGTGGTGCTGAATGATTATTCCGTTTGCAAGAAAGAAAATCTGGCTTCCAAATGAACAGCAGCTCAGAGACGCTAGAGCACCAAGAGGTGGACAGTAGGAATTTGCCTCCATCGATTTAAGCCCAAGACAGAAAAATATGACAACCACAAAAATGCTTTATGAGGGCACTTGAACAAACACTTTGGAAGTCCATGGAGAATAATATGCGGTTTCAAATTTTTGTAGACTTCAGCAAAGTCATTTCTAGGTCTTTAATCTTTTTAATGGACTGGCCATATACATTTTGAAAAAGTTTCAGTCTGCCATAGAAAGAGAGACTTGGAAGGAGAATTTTTATAGCTGCTAAGCATCTACAAGTACAAAAAAACCCCAAATGACTTGCCTCTTTTATTTGTAAGGCATTCTGCTGTGATTACAATATTCGTTCTTTTCACCAGAGAACAACCTCTCTGCTGAGGTTCAATAGACAAGATGGAGTTCATAAAATCTGAAATATGAGTGTACACGGTGCCTAATAAACCCCAAATGTTGCCTCTTTTATTTGTAAGGCATTCTGCTGTGATTACAATATTCGTTCTTTTCACCAGAGAACAACCTCTCTGCTGAGGTTCAATAGACAAGATGGAGTTCATAAAATCTGAAATATGAGTGTACACGGTGCCTAATAAAACATGCTAGGTCTTTTTCAACTGCAAGGATTGGTGTAAGGACACAGAGAAGTGAAACAACTTTTTTAAGCCTGTGTAAGTACAATAATCTGAAATAGTTCCTTTTAAAATAGTGTTCCACAGACCAAAGATAGGTGACCATGACGCACGCATAGTGTCAAAGAGAAGGAAGCTCCAGTGCCCTGTTGGAGTTGATACAGAAAAACACCTACTGTAACTGGCCCGGGGGGAACGAGGCTCTCGCTGGGCGAGAAGAGTGGCGGTAAATCACACGTTAGCCAGGCGGAAGGTGCAAGCTACCCCGTGCCTCAGAGGGACCCGAGGAGAGCGACCGGGACA